ACAAACCTACAAACCTCCACCTCCACAGATCACAACAAACCTTTTCCCATTCAGACAGAATTCCTGCCACCCAAATTTAGCCCAAAAACCAGATCGATATGCCAAGAGGAGGGGAGAAATTTCCGTGCATGCTTCAATTAAATCAGCATTTTTCAAACCTGGGCAACTTTTAAGACCTGTGGACTTCAGCTCCCAGAATTCCTCAGCCAGCATACCAGCAGGGGAATCCTAAGAGCTGAAATTCCTTTATTTATGTATTTATTTATTAAATTTTCATGTGGCCCATCTTAGGGTGAAGGATTAGGTGGTGACAATGCAGAAAGGGGAAAATTTTGACTTCCTATTAAAAGTCCAGACTGTTTAGAGTCCGTTATGAGCTAATTTGCATGTTTTCCCCTCTTTATTGCTAAATAAAGCAGAAGAGATGAATATATATATATATTTTCACACAATTAGACAACTGTGAAAATCTCAGACTTTCGGTTCCCATCTCAAAGTCATGTGCCGGCTTATCATGGTTCAGGTTTTGCTGTCTCATAGCCACAAGCAGAATAAGAGAATAACAGAGTTGAAAGGGACGTTGGAGGTCTTCTAGTTCAACCCCCTGCTCAAGCAGGAGACACTTTCATACGGAATATCAGAATAACAGATTTGAAAGGGGCCTTGGAGGTCTTCTAGTCCTACCCTCTGCTCAAGCAGGAGATCCTATACCATTTTGGACAAATGGTTGTCCAATCTCCTCTTAAAAACTTCCAGTGTTGGAGCATTCACAGCTTCTGGAGGCAAGGAGTTCCACTGATTAATTGTTTTCACTTTTAAGAAATGTTTCCTTAGTTCCAGGTTGCTTCTCTCCTTGATTAGTTTCCATCCGTTGCTTCATCCTGCCTTTGGAGAATACCTTGACTCTCTCTTCTTTGGGGTAGCCCCTGAGATATTGGAACACTGCTATCATGTCCCCCCTGGTTCTTCTTTTCATTAGACCAGACATATTCAATTCCTGCAACCGTTCTTTGTATGTTTTATCCTCCAGCCCCTTAATAATCCTTGTTGGTTCCTTCCAACTCTGTTATTCTAATTCTAATTCATTCCCCACCATCCAGTCAGAGCTGAAGAAGCTTCTTGGATGAGAAGTGAAAGGTCTTCAAAGAAAACAAGAAAGTCCAGTTGAAAAAAGCACCTTTGGGACAAACCAGGACCTGGAGGACAAATTACAGTTTTGACGCCCCACCCACCTGCCATTCACACAAGCCAAACCGCTAACCAAGATTAAGACTGATCAAGTTCCACGTGTTGTTTGAATGCAGCCGTGAAGTTCACGCGAGATCATGCGAAGTATTAATACCACTCTACAAGGCCTTGGTAAGGCCACACTTGGAATACTGTATCCAGTTTTGGTCACTACAATGTAAAAAAGATGTTCAGACTCTGGAAAGAGTGCAGAGAAGAGCAACAAAGATGATTAGAGGACTGGAAGCTAAAACATATAAGGAACGGTTGCTGGAATTGGGTAGGTCTAGTTCAGGGGTAGGCAACCTTGGTTCTTTTATGACTTATGGACTTCAACGCCCAGAATTCCTGAGCCAGCCTGGGAGTTGAAGTCCACAAGTCATAAAAGAGCCAAAGTTGCCTACCCCTGGTCTAGTTTAATGCAGTTTACAATGCCTTGGTAAGGCCACATTTGGAATCCTGCATCCAGTTTTGGTCACCACGATGTAAAAAAGATGTTGAGACTCTAGTAACTACAGTACAGAGAAGAGCAACAAAGATGATCAGGGGACTGGAGGCTAAAACCTGTGAAGAACAGTTGCTAGAATTGGGTATGTCTAGTTTAACGAAGAGAAGGACAAGGGGGGACATGATAGCAGTCTTCCAATCTCTGAGGGGCTGCCACAAAGAAGAGGGAGTCAAGCTCTTCTCCAAAGCGCCTGAAGGCAGAACAAGAAGTGATGGATGGAAACTCATCAAGGAGAGAAGCAAGCTAGAACTAAGGAGAAACTTCCTGACAGTGAGAACAATTAACCAGTGGAACAACTTGCCTCCAGAAGCGGTGAATGCCCCAACACTGGACGTTTTTAAGAAGAGACTGGACAGCCATTTGTCCGAAATGGTATAGGGTTTCCTGCCTGAGCAGGGGGTTGGACTAGATGACCTTCAAGGTCCCAACTCTGTTATTCTATTCTATTCTATTCTATTCTATTCTATTCTATTCTATTCTATTCCATTCCATGCTGATTATTAGCCCAGAGGTTCAGATACATGGACCGTTATCAATAAATCAGTTAATTTTAACATTAATGTGTGGACCTGGTCTTCCACTCCTGATCATTAAAAACATTCTACCTCTGAAGAGGATTCAAACTACATCTCCTTCAGCCCCACGGTGAAGTTTTTTGCCCCACCTTCAATGTAACGTTCTCCAAACGTGGGGGTTTCCAACTTGCAAATTCCCCAGTGGAAACATCTGGAGGGCAGCCAGGGTGGAAGGGAGGGGGGAATCCAAAAGAGAAGGTTTGTGGATTTGGGGTTTTTTTTAAAAAAAAAAAAATAAAACAAAACCAAACACTGTTGAACTATATGATAAATGTGAGATGGAGAAAGACGTGGATCTGAAAATGGATAAAATGGTCAGAGCTAAGGAAAAAGACGCTGCGGGAAGTCAGCCCCCCAGAAAAGGAAATATTAAAAGGGCAGAAAAATATATTTCCTCAAAGGATCATAAAGAGGCAGAAAAGCATGCCCAGTTTTTTTCCTTAATAGCCCCAAGTCTGCCTCCCCCAAGCAGAAACCAGCTCTGTACAAATGCAGATGTAAACCATTCAGGAAGGTTGAAGCTAGGAGATTAAGAAGACAAAGACGCTTAAAATCTGCATACCTCACCCAAACTCTAAGAATCATTAGCCACAGCCCCAGGGAAGCAGGATATGACCTTTGGGACATAATAGGATTAAGCCATCACCATGAGAATACCAAAAGAGCACACTCACATTCAGGTCAAGGTTCATGCCACAGGAACAACTCCAAACAAAAGGCTCCAGAGAGTATAAAGTTTTTAAGAAGAGACTGGACAGCTATCCTGCCTGAGCAGGGGGTTGGACTAGATGACCTCCAAGGTCCCTTCCAACATCATCATCATCATCATCATCATCATTATTATTATTATTATTATTATTATTATGTGAGACCTTTCCTCAAATGATAAGAAACCAACCTGGGACACGCATCATTTGATGGCACTAAAGATTAAAGAATTTGCAACAACAAATGCATCACCATGGGAGAGATCCTGAAGCTTTGCCCTCCTCCCCACCTTCCCTACAGACAGAGACACCCCCCCATCTCCACCTCTGCAAAGTGGGGGGCTCCCCTGCCTTCCATCCCCAGGTGGGGTCCCTCCCCCCCCCAGGAGAAAGACACCAGGCACCCTTCTGCAGGCTGGCCTTGACTAATAAGGAAGGCAACAAAACAGCCCCTTCCCTGTCCAGGACCACCTGCCGTGGGGAACCCCAGCTCTGATTCGGAAGAAGTTCAGCCCCTGACCATGTGCAGAAAGCATTTCTCTTCCTGGCATGGGGGGGGGGGCAGCAACTCCTCCTCCCTCCCCTTTCTCCAGAGAGAAATTCAGCCTCCTTGAAGCTCAACCCTGCAGGGTTTAGAAGGCCGAGAAACGTGGCTGGAGGCAAGGAATGAAGGAAGGAAGCAGGAAGAAAGGAGAGAAAGAAAGGGGAGGGAGGGAAGAATGGAAGGAGAGAGGGAGGGGAAAAGAAAGAAAGGATGAATGGAGGGAGGGAGGAAGAATGAAAGGAGAGAGGGAGGGGAAAAGAAAGAAAGGATGAATGGAGGGAGGGAGGAAGAATGAAAGGAGAGAGGGAGGGGAAAAGAAAGAAAGGATGAATGGAGGGACGGAGGAAGAATGAAAGGAGAGAGGGAGGGGAAAAGGAAAAAAAGGATGAATGGAGGAAGGAGAGGGAGGGGGAAAGGAAGAAAAGGCGAAGGGAGGGAGGGAGGAGGAAGAATGGAAGGAGGGAGGGAAAAGAAAGGATGAATGGAGGGAGGGAGGAAGAATGAAAGGAGAGAGTGAGGGGAAAAGGAAGAAAGGATGGAGGGAGGAAGGAGAGGGAGGAGGAAGAACGGAAGGAGGGAGGGAAAAGAAAGAAAGGATGAAGGGAGGGAGGAAGGGAGGAAGAATGAAAGGAGAGAGGGAGGGGAAAAGGAAAAAAGGATGAATGGAGGGAGGAAGGAGAGGGAGGGGAAAAGGAAGAAAGGACGAAGGGAGGGAGGAAGGAGAGGGAGGAGGAAGAATGGAAGGAGGGAAAAGAAAGAAAGGATGAAGGGAGGAAGGGAGGAAGAATGAAAGGAGAGAGGGAGGGGAAAAGGAAAAAAGGATGAATGGAGGGAGGAAGGAGAGAGGGAGGGGAAAAGGAAGAAAGGATGGAGGGAGGGAGGGAGAAAGAATGGAAGGAGAGAGGGAGGGGAAAAGGAAGAAAGGATGAATGGAGGGAGGGAGGGAGGGAGGAAGAATGGAAGGAGAGAGGAAGGGGAAAAGGAAGAGAATGAATGAAGGGGGGCGGGAGGAAGGAGAGGGAGGAGGAAGAATGAAAGGAGAGAGGGAGGGAAAAAGGAAAAAAGGATGAATGGAGAGAGAGGAGGGAAGTTAGAATGGAAGGAGAGAGCGGGGGAAGAAGGGATGAAGGAAGGGAGGTAGGGGAAGGAGAAAGGAAGGAAGGAAGGAAGGAAGGAAGGAAGGAAGGAAGGAAGGAAGGAAGGAAGGAAAGGCGAGCCATCCCCTCTTGCCCCCCACCCCGAGATTCCTTTTGGGAACTCCGGCATCTGCCCCCGCCGCCGGGCTCCAAACTCGCCCGGGGCGCCAGGCGCGCACCCTGCGCGGGAGGCTGGGGGAGGGCGGAGGTTTCGGCCCGTCCGGGGGCAGAAGGGAAGGCGATTCCCCGCCTGGAAGGGGAGGCTTTGGGGGGGGGCTGGGGGGGCTGCGCAAGAGGCCTCACCACCATCCAGGCAGAAGCAGGAGGTCAGGAGGAGGATGGCCAAGGGCGCCTTCATCTTCCGCGGTGGCGAGGCTGCTGCGCTCCGGAGAAAGGCGATGCCGGCGGCTGGCTGGCTGGCTGGGCTGGGCGACGTCTGGGGGGGAGAGAAGGGGGAGAAGCGGGGCTGGGGAGGGGGCGGCGGGGAGGCGGCCACGTGCGCCCGCTCGGCAAATCCCGCTCGGGCTGGGCGTTGCGCAGCTGGGCTTCTTCCCTCCGCCGAGCTTTCGTTTCTCCCGGCGCGCGTGGGGAGCCCGTGGGGAGGACCGGGAAGGCGGGCAGCGCCCTGGATTGCGTGCCGATGGAGAAGGAGGCTTTCTTTGCAGAAGGCTGGCAGGAGTAGCGGACCCCCCAGGAGACCGACTCAGGATCCAGCGAGATCTTGACCAACGGGAGCAATGCGCCCTCCCTAGCCAACGAAACGCGTTCCAATGTGGAGAAAAAGCAAAGTCAATCCTGGGTTGCGTAAACGGAGGCAGAGCATCAAGATCACGCACCATATTAGCACCGCTTTATAAAACCCTAGCGAGGCCACACCTGGAATGCTGCAGCCAATTGTGGTCACCCGTACCACAAAAAAAGATGTTGGTAGAGTTTGGAAGAAAATTCAGAGAAGAGCAACTAAGATGATCCAAGGCCTGGAGCAGTGGTTCTCAACCTTTTTAATGCCGCGACCCCCCAACTGGTCGTAAGTCAAGGACTACTCAACTGGTCGTAAGTCGAGGACTACTCAACTGGTGCAGCACCGTTTGCAGAATAGGACTTTTGGCGGGCTCAGCAGGGCAGAGACAGCCTGGACAATTCCTATTGGCTTTTGAAAGCCAATAGAATTAGACTCTATTCAAGAGAGTCTATTCTATTGGCTTTCAAAAGCCAATAGAATAAAAGGGAGTAGCACAGCTAAGGAAAAGGGGGAAAAAAATGGCGGACTGCATTGTTTGGCGACCCCCGTGAAATGGTCGTTCGACCCCAAATGGGGTCCCGACCCACAGGTGGAGAACCACTGGCCTGGAGACTAAAACATACGAAGAACCGGCTGTGGGACTTGGGTTTGGCAGCGCCGTGATTTCGTGCCGATGAAGAAGGAGTATTTATTTGCAGATGGCACCGAGCTGGCAGGAGTAGCCGACACCCCAGGAGACCGACTCAAGATCCAGCGAGATCTTGACCAACTGGAGCAATGCGCCCTCCCTAGCCAACAAAACGAGTTCCAATGTGGAGAAAAGCAAAGTTTTTGTTGTTGTTAATTGCAAAGTCGTGTCCGACCCATCGCGACCCCATGGACAACGTTCCTCCAGGTCTTCCTGTCCTCTACCATCTTCTGGAGTCCATTTAAGTTCACACCTACTGCTTCAGGGACTCCATCCAGCCACCTCCTTCTCTGTCGTCCTCTCCTTCTCTTGCCCTCCATATTTCCCAGCATCAGGCTCTTCTCCAGCGAGTCCTTCCTTCTCCTTAGGTGGCCAAAGGACTTGAGTTTCAACCTCAGGATCTGGCCTTCTAAAGAGCAGTCGGGGTTGATCTCCTCCAGGACTGACCAGTTGGATCACCTTGCAGTCCAGGGAACTCGCAGGAGTCTTCTCCAGCACCAGAGTTCAAAGGCCTCCATTCTTTGGCGTTCAGCCTTTCTTATGGTCCACCTTTCGCAGCCATACATTGCAACTGGGAAAACCATGGCCTGGACTATACGCACTTTTGTTGGCAGGGTGATGTCTCTGCTTTTTAGTATGCTGTCTAGATTTGCCAGGCAGGCAAAGCCAAAGGCGCAAATACAGACTGCTATAAAAACAGTCACTGTGAGAGGGACCTTGGAGTCCTCGTGGATGATCACTTGACTATGAGTCAGCCGGGTGCAGCAGCAGCAGCCAAAAAAGCCAACACAATCCTGGGTTGTGTAAACGGAGGCAGAGAATCAAGATCACACACAATATTAGTACTGCTTTATAAAACCCTAGCGAGGCCACACCTGGAATGCTGCAGCCAATTTTGGTCACCCCTACCACAAAAAAATATGTTCAGAGTTTGGAACAAAATTTAGAGAAGAGCAACTAAGATGATCCAAGGCCTGGAGACTAAAACATACAAAGAACCAGCTGTGGGACTTGGGTTTGGCTAGTCTAAAGAAAAGAAGAAATAGGGGAGACATGATAGCAGTGTTCCAGTATTTGAGGGGCTGCCACAAAGAGGAGGGGTCAAACTATTCTGGAATTAAGGAGACATTTCCTGTCAGTAGGGACAATTAACCAGTGGAACAGCTGGCCTCCAGAAATTGTGGGTGTTCCATCACTGGAGGTTTTTAAGAGACTGGACAGTCACTTGTCTGAAATGGTATAGGTTCTCCTGTAGCTGGACTAGAAGACCTCCGAGGTCCCTTCCAGATTCTACACTACACTACACTACGCTCTCCATTCCATTCCACTCCACTCTCCATTCCATTCTATTCCATTCCACTCCGCTCCGCTCTCCATTCCATTTTATTCTATTCCATTCCATTCCACTCTTCATTCCATTCTATTCCATTCCACTCCATTCTCCATTCCATTCTATTCCATTCCATTCCACTCCGCTCTCCATTCTATTCTATTCCATTCCACTCCACTCCACTCTCTATTCCATTCCACTCCACTCCACTCCGTTCTCTAATCTATTCCATTCTATTCCATTCCACTCCACTCCACTTTCCATTCCACTCCACTCCACTCTCCATTCCATTCTATTCCATTCCACTCCGCTCCGCTCTCCATTCCATTTTATTCTATTCCATTCCATTCCATTCTATTCCATTCCACTCCATTCTCCATTCTATTCCATTCCATTCCACTCCGCTCTCCATTCTATTCTATTCCATTCCACTCCACTCCACTCTCTATTCCATTCCACTCCACTCCACTCCGTTCTCTAATCTATTCCATTCTATTCCATTCCACTCCACTCCACTTTCCATTCCACTCCACTCCACTCTCCATTCCATTCTATTCCATTCCACTCCACTCCACTCTCCATTCTATTCCATTCCACTCCACTCCACTTTCCATTCCACTCCACTCCACTCTCCATTCTATTCCATTCCACTCCACTCCACTCTCTATTCCATTCCACTCCACTCCACTCTCCATTCTATTCCATTCCACTCCACTCCGCTCTCCATTCTATTCTATTCCATTCCACTCCACTCCACTCTCTATTCCATTCTATTCCATTCCACTCCACTCCACTCTTCATTCCATTCTATTCCATTCCACTCCACTCCACTCTCCATTCTATTCCATTCCACTCCACTCCACTTTCCATTCCATTCCACTCCACTCCACTCTCCATTCCATTCTATTCCATTCCATTCCACTCCACTCCACTCTCCATTCCATTCTATTCCATTCCACTCCACTCCACTCCACTCTCTATTCCATTCCACTCCACTCCACTCTCCATTCTATTCCATTCCACTCCACTCCGCTCTCCATTCTATTCTATTCCATTCCACTCCACTCCACTCTCTAATCCATTCCACTCCACTCCACTCTGCTCTCCATTCCATTCCACTCCACTCTCTATTCCATTCTATTCCATTCCACTCTCCATTCTATTCTATTCTATTCTATTCTATTCTATTGCACTCCATTCCATATTTTCTATTCTATTCTATTCCATTCCATTCCATTCCATTCCATATTTTCTATTCTATTCTATTCTATTCTATTCTATTCTATTCTATTCTATTCTATTCTATTCTATTCTATTCCACTCCATTCCATTTTTTCTATTCTATTCTATTCTATTCTATTCTATTCTATTCTATTCTATTCTATTCTATTCTATTCTATTCTATTCTATTCCATCTTTATTCTACTCTACTCTACTCTATTCTAAGAATAGGGTTCAAAAACAAAAGAGATCAGTCAATCAATCAATCAATCAATCAGAATAGAGCTAGAAAGGGACCTTGGAGGTCTTCAAGTCCAGCCCCCTGCTCAGGGAGGTAATCCTATACCATTTCGGACAAATGGCTGTCCAGTCTCTTCTTAAAAATGTCCAGTGGTGAAGCACCCACAACTTCTGGAGGCAAGGAGTTCCACTGGTTAATTGCCCTTGTAGTAGAAAAACCTCGATATGTATTCAGAAGACAAGACCACGAAGGGTTGGAGAAACAGGTTTATTTGTGCAAAGGTTCAGAGCATTATCATGACAGATTGTGAACCCTCGGGCTACTCCCAGGGCATTAGTTTTATCCCTTTTACAACCCCAGCCCCGCCTTATCAGCTATACCTTACCTTATCAGCTATAGCAGGAGTGAAGAAAAGGAGAAGTTTATATTATTGGTTATCATACTACATTTCTCTATAAGGATATTATCTTACAGCATCTGAATAGAACTGCTTACTGCTTACACCTTTCTTACAATATGTTCCATTACAGTCAATAACTAGCACACAGGTCACACAGCTCATTGTTACATGAAGGAAAGTTCCCTTTTCCTAAGCCAGTGGTTCTCCACCTGTGGGTCGGGACCCCATTTGGGGTCGAACGACCATTTCACGGGGGTCGTCAAACAACGCAGTCCGCCATTTTTTCCCCCTTTTCCTTAGCTGTGCTACTCCCTTTTATTCTATTGGCTTTTGAAAGCCAATAGAATAGAGTCTCTTGAATAGAGTCTAATTCTATTGGCTTTCAAAAGCCAATAGGAATTGTCCAGGCTGTCTCTGCCCTGCTGAGCCCGCCAAAAGCCCCGTTCTGCAAACGGTGCTGCACCAGTTGAGTAGTCCTCGACTTACGACCGGTTGGGGGTCGCGGCATTAAAAAGGTTGAGAACCACTGGCTTACACCTTTCTTACAATATGTTCCATTACAGTCAATAACTAGCACACAGGTCACACAGCTCATTGTTACATGAAGGAAAGTTCCCTTTTCCTAAAGCTTACAACATCAAAGCAAGGAAGCGTCTACTAAAATGTTCTGCTACTATGAGTACGGTATGTATTCTCCAGTCTGCCTCACCCTCACTGTCAGGAAATTTCTCCTTAATTCCAAGTTGCTTCTCTCCTTGAGGAGTTTCCATCCGTTGCTTCTTGTCCTGCCTTCCGGCGCTTTGGAGAATAGTTTGACCTTCCTCCCTTCTTTGTGGC